TGCAGTTCGAAAATATAATTATAATAATAAGTCTCACGGGTCCTGAATTTAAAAAAAATGATTAATAAAGTTTATTCCTTATCATCTTTCCTTTTTTGAGTAGTGAATTACAGAATTTCGGTCTTTAGCATAGCCGTAGTAAACCTCCGATTTTTACACGTGATCTTTGAAATATAGGAGTGAGTCAATTAATTACTTTCTGTCCTACCTTTCTATCGTTATAGTAAATATAGATTCTGTTAAAATTGGTATTATCTTAACGGAAAAACTACAAATAATTATTATATTATTCTATTGTTCCAAAAGAGGTCCCGCGCCATTTTTTTAAAAAAAGAATAATTATTACTTCATATGTGTTTTGGTGAACCAAACTTTACATTAATTGATTTTCTTAAAAGATTGGTTAAATTAATGCGCGGGAATATTGACAAGGAAAGTCTAAAAAAAAATCTGGACTTTTTAGCCCAAGACTTTTTGTGCATAAAATTAAATGTTCTCACAAATCAAAATAGACATTTTTAAAATGGCAACGATTAACTTAAAAAAGACACCGAAACGTTTATTATAAACAAACACAGCTTATTGTAAAAATATATATAAAAAAATCTTAGCCCAAAAAATACTTCAAAAAGAAAAATCGCTTAGAAAAAAAAAGTGTCGAGTAATAAAAAAGAGATTCATATTCATCAACATGATAGATAACGAAGATGAAAATGATTAATGTCCACAATAATTGTTATTGTTATTATTAATTCCACAAACACCGCCAGGATTGCCAAATCCACCACTACCAAAAACATTGAAACCATTATTACCATTGTTATTGTTATTATTATTTATACGATAATCACCATCGACAGCTTGTTTTGCGATGACCCATTTTAAATGTTCAGGATTAATCCAACTCTGCATATCATCGTGAGAAATTTTATCCATTCCAATACATTGTAGGATGTCAACATCATTAAGTATTGTTGGTTTATTTGGATAAAATGTAAGAAACCTAGTAATATATCAATCAGTGTTAGACAAACAATAATAACTATGATAACAACATAATAACATATTCTATTATAGACATAATCTACCCATCCTGTCCACTCTGAATATCAATTTGTGTTCCTTGCGGACAACGTATAAGCTTGAATGGAAAATATATTTTTGATTTACCGTTATTGGATTGATATTGATAACTGTTTAACTTATTTCTCTTCACAAGATTACAGATGTGAAGGTGCTATTCGTTATTATAATGTTACACGAGTGAGAGTGTATTTAAAAAAAATTAATATTGAATAATTAATAGTATAAATTTATATTTAATATACTGACTTGAGCAATTTTGTTTTGAAAAGCAATTTTGGCATCATTAACCTGCTTGCTTAAATTTCGATTTTGTCGCTGAATTCCAGTAAAAAAAAATCATAGTTAATAAAAATTTTATTAAACTATTTATTCATATATTTTTCCTTTACCTCCAACTCTTGAAGTTCAAATTTTTGTCTTTCAATTTCAGCATCAGTCGTCACAGGTAATAAAGTTGAATTAACATTAATATCGCTGATATCATTATTGTTATTATTGTTACTACTATTGTTATTATTATTAATACAACAACTGCAATTGACACAACCACCACAACCAACAACAACAACGCCAGAATTATTATTGTTATTATTTTTACTATTGTTATTAATATTATTGATATTCCTTTTTTGACCTGGTAAACCCAGCCACCTAATTTCTTTTTTATCTTTAGCTATAATGTCCATTGCCATTAATACGTTTAATGCATCATATACACGACGTCTTATATTCTTTTGATCTACTTTTTGCTAATAAAAAAATTTATAAAAAAATTATTAATTATATGCATAGGTAAGTTAATTGATTTGTTGATTGATTACTTACACCACCAATATCTTGCATTTGAGCAGCAAAATCTTCTGCAAGTTCATCAGCAACCTTTTAAAAAAAACATCAACTATTATCGTTATTTGTTGAAAGCATATGAAATTTTGAATATTAGTTCATCAACGGAAGAGAATGAATGGATTGATACAAATATAATTAATATTTCATCAGAATATCCATCATTCAGTTTACTTCAAGAGTGTTTTAATGAATTAATTGTTGGACGTTTTGAATTTTTCTTAAGAACTAACGATTTCAAGATATGGATAGATTATTGCTTGCATCTTTATTAAAAACAGATTTATTTGGAATTGTGACATTCAATGGGGAATTGACAAATAGAGGTTTAGAGAAAAACAATTTTCAATGTGGGACAGCTTATGATTCATCAGATTAAAAGGTGAATTGTAAGTTATTAATCATTCCATTGATAAGGTATCTCCACAAATTTTCGTGAAAAAGTTTCATCATTTCAAAGAACATTTTAAACTAAAAGTGTATGGAAAACTTCAAGATTATTTTATGGATGATTGCCGGCAATTAAAATCATTGTTTGTAAACGATAATTCAAGATCTAGAACAGCAGCCCTCTGAAAGTTTTTATGGAAAAATAGTACATTTTTCATATGTTTTTGGTTTTTACCATACTAATACATAAAATGCAGCGCCTTTCCGTTTGTTTTTATCTAAAAACCTATGGAATACATAGTGGAAACATATTGATTTGGAAATATAAATTTTATATTAAAATGTACTCCATATACATTCTGTATTAAATATTAATATGGAAACCATTTTCTCGCACTTGAGTATTAGTATTTCAATATATTTTCCGTACAGGATTTTTTAAAGGGCAGAAGAAAGATTGTTAAATGTAACATCATTTCTGGTTGGATTGATGAAATGTAAAAAAAAATTGCCATATAAATTTGATTTAATCTCGGCAGAACAATCTTTTGAGATAATCTAATCAATCAGTGTTGAAAATTCAACTGCAACCTAGTACAAATTTGTGGGATATAACGTACACCCGTCGATTCCGTCAACACTGGTTATAATTTTAAAGGTACTGTAATTCTTCTCAAATTTAGCGATACACGGGAGTTAATGGTTATAATTTATCAGAAAATAGGATGAGAACGGTTCATTCAAACAACTGACCCTTCTATATTAATATTGTCACGAAATTTCCATATGTACGAAATATTTATTAATTTTTTACCAAATTTAGAAATCGAGTCTGGTGACCTCTTTGTCGATCAATTCATAAGAGTTAATGTGCCCCGTGAAAAAAAGACTTAATAATAATTGAAATAAATTTTTTTGAATATA